CAATGCCTAGGTCCCCTCATTGGCAGGCACAAGTGATGCTGGGGGAGGACAAGACAGGGCAGGCAACTTGTGTCCAATGTAAAATCAACCAGAACCGCAACAGTCCCAGGAAGCAAGAGGGGTGACTGGACTCCTAAGAATTTGACCTAGCTTCTCCTCCTTCCAGCCTAACATTTATTTTTATGACCATGAAGAAGGGCTTGCAACATCTCCCTGGGGTTGAAGTTCATTGCTATGATTAAATACACGTGTCCTGAGCTTCCCTCACACCAGTCCCCTGCACCTGGTAGATGTGGTTTTTCTGCTACTGGGCCACTGATCTGGGACTCCTGTGGGCTCCTGAAAGCCACACACAAAACTTATCCGGAGCTTGTCCTCCCATATCCGCAGGAAGCAGTGGTTTGAGGAAGCCATGTTGCACCATCAGGTGCCCTGTCAGAACTTAACCAACCTACACTTTGGCTGGGCTGAATATTCGTGGCAGGGGTCCCAAGTTTTGACCACCCAGGTTCTAAGATAATGGGGTTCCTAATGAATCTACACTGGTCTGTGTCTTTCTTAGTACTTTTCCATAGACCCAAGCCCCAACATTTATTTCCCAGCCTGTAAGACAAGGTCTGAGTGATAAGGGGTGGAAGTGGCTAATGGCCTGACAGTTACAAGATTTACAAGATATATAGCAGCTTAGCTAGAAAGCATAGCCATCAGGAAGTGATGACTTCCTGAGTCTTAATTTTCTCATTAGTCAAACAATTTTAGAATTCCATCCAACCAGTGGAATACTGGTAAATGTTTAACCGGCTCTTCAGAAAACAAAACAAAACAAAATAAAACAAAATCCTGATGTAGGTGTTAGCCAATTCCAGTGATGTAAATGTTCCCAACATGGCTGATTTCAAACTACCAACATGACATCGACCAGCTCAAAAAATGAAATGTAAAGTCGGTTAGACCTGGTAGTAGCCAATTTCAGCACAACATTGCATTCAATTCTCTCCCTGTTTGGCAAGCCCTGAAGCCAAGTCAATGTAACACATCATCCCAAGTTAGAGGGTCCCAGGTGAGGAGGAAAGGGGGTTTCTGGGTCCATTGATCACTGGGTGTAATACTGAGGAGGCCTGAACTGTGAGAGATGGGATGACTTTTCACCTGTTGTTTCAAGTTCAAGAGGTTCATCATCGTCCATGGTGCCAGGTCCCTCTCGGGGGCTGCTGCCAGTTTCTTGCCACCTTTCTACTGCTTCCCTAAGAAGCACACCTGTCCATTCACCCCTGTCTCAAACTTTGTGCACTCTGCCCTCACACAGACAAATCCCAGGGGGCCTGTAGTTATCCTTCCATCCCAGCAAGCCCGGGGGAGAGTGGGCTTTGGTGGGAATTGGACATGCATGAATTTGACCCCAACTCTGTCTGGGACAGGTAACTACTTCCTGGGATCATCAGGGAGAATGGTATAGCTCTATTCCTGGGAGCTCTGTCCAAAAGATGCCCATCCACCTGAGACTTTGTGACTTAGGAGCCCCTTCCATTTCCTCTTCAACATTCCATGACCTCATGCAGTGATTGTGATCCATGTGAGCGGACGCGGCAACAGCAAGCCTGCCACCTTGTTGGTGGCTCTGGCAGTTGTCTTTTCTCATATGTCCACTGGGGCCAAGCCCAGGCTTGGCTGTCAGTGTGCACGTGCTGGGGGGTGGGGGGCTCTCAGAGGTGTTGTATTTCCCTCTAAGTCAGGACCAAACCCAAGCCCCTTAATCAGGTGACCGTGAAGAGCTGCCACCATGTTCTTCTCTCAAGGTGGTTGTACTTCAGGTACGAAATATTTCAGTGATGGGTGAAGTCTGTTTTCTTCTGTGTAGTTCTTCTTCCTTTTTTCTTTCCCCCTTGGGAGAGTGTCCTCAACCTTGGAGTAGAAGATCAAAAGCAAAGTACAACAAACTTACATTCTATCACTACAGTTTGTTGCAGCCAAACCATTATCGAATTCAAACTACTGGGCTGCCTAAGTTGAAACCACTCAACCATCATTCCCACGCTTGGCTGTTTTCACATGTCTTGGAGTTGAAGTTCACTTGCAGTTTACTGTCAAGAGAATCTGGAGGCGTGTTTGTTCCTTCTTGATAAGCTTTCAGCACATCAACTGTCAGGTCAGTGACTGGAGGGCTTGGGGACATGAAAATCCCTCTTTGCCACTCAGAAGAATGATGAAGATGTAGGAATTTGTATAGGGAAAACATAGAAACTTGCATCAAAAGAAATACATAAATCTGAGATGCTACTGATTCCTTCAGGCATTTATTCTGAAAAATATTTGTGAAGCATCTACTATGGTACAAGGCAATAAAATAGGCACCATTTTAGAGAGGGGATGTAGACATTAAGACATGAACCTTTCACGGCATATTATAGATATAGGATAGAATTTGATAGGGCTACCCTTAGAGTGTTTGTGTCCTGGACAAATATTTTTGGCAGAGCTTTTGTTCCTATAAACAATTTAAGTCACCCTACACAGCATGGTAACCATTTTAGTGGCTCAATCTCATGTGGTTCCTTGAAAGAAATATCAAATAGGATGGGGGAGTGATCAACTTCTAGGATCATTTGGTAGGCATGAGTCCTGGAGACCGTGGATCATCTGGTCAACCCCACACTGGTGAAAGTGTCCTTAAAGGAGAGAAATGGGAACTAGAGAGTATTTGGTCTTGGTCTAAACTCTGGGTGGTCTGCCTAGATAGGATCATGTCGTCTCAGGCACAAAGGGCGAATTAAGACATTTTGGAGGAAGGCACTCCAAATAGCCACTGGGCAAAGGCACCACTCACTTGTGTCTAAAGGCAATACTGGAAATTGATAAGAGTCGTATTGGAGATTCTCTGGGAGTTCAAGGGAGGGTGAGGTTTCTTCATGCTGGGGAGCATTCAGTCTGGGGGAAGTCATTTCCGGGAATGCAGGATCAAGGAAGACAGCAGAGCCCATGGTAGGTTTGGGGAATAAAGGGTACAAAGAGTGGTAGAGAAATGGGAGGTCACAAGGACCAAAGAAATTTCAGGGATGGATTCAAATGTGATTAAAAGGCAATAGGGAGCCACTGAAGATTTTTGAACAGGATTTAATCAGAGCTTTTCTTTATAATGGTAAACAGCAATATATTTTTTTGCATGACTTATTTCTGGAGAAATGAAAATGTTCAAGGACCATAATTTTAAAATTGTATATCTTTTCAAAAATCATGAAATATAATATCTGCAACTTCTTTATATATATCATTATTTTTAAATTTTCACTATTACTGCAGGGTTATCTTTTTAAAAAATGTTTTTATTTTGAAATGATTTTAGATTACAAAAGAGTTAGAAAAATAGTCATGTTCCCATATATTCTTACCTAGCTTCCCCTTATGATAACATCTTATACAGCTATAGAAAAATTATCAAAACTAAGAAACTAACATTGGTACAATGCTATTAACTAAACTACAGACTGTATTTATATTTTACCAGTTTTTCCACTAATGTCCATTCTTTGTTCCAGGATCCAATCCAGGATTCCACATTATGTTGCTAACCATGCCTCCGTTAGTCTCTTCCAATCTATGATATTGATCTTCAGTCTTTGTCTTTCATGACCTTTACACGTTTAAAGTGTATTGGTCAGATATTTTGTAGAATGTCCCTCAATTTTGGCTTGTCTGATGTCTTGTCATGATCATTGGGAAGAGCACCAGAGTTGATGGGCCCTTCTCAGTGCATATCAGGGATACATAATAAGTATTACATTGATCACTTGGTCAAGGTATTTGCCAGGTTTCTCTACTGTAAAGTTACTATTTTCCCCTTTGTAATTAATCCATATTTTGGAGAAGATGCTTTAAGACCATGTAAATACCTTATATCTGCTTAAATTTTGCCCACTAATTTTAGCGTCCATTGATGGATCTTGCCTCAATGTTTATGACTGTGTGTTCTGATGGTGATTTTCTAATTCCTACAATACTTCTACATTTGTTAATTGGAATTTTTCTGTAAGAGAGAGTGGTGTCTTTCCCCCATTTATTTGTTTATTCAATTGTATATATTAATAGGGGCTCATGGATTTTCATTTTATTCTTTGGGCTACAATATAATACTATTATTTATTTTGCTCTTCATGTTCCAGCTTTGGCTATGAGAATTCCTTCAAGTTGGGTCCTGTGCCTTTTTTTTTTTTTTTTAACAGAGCCATCCTGCCACCTGTTGGCAGCTCAGCTCGATCGAACCGCTGTTGTTCAGAGCACAAACTCTTGAGTGAGCTCTTAACCAACTGAACCACTNTATATTTATATTATTATGCAACCATCACCATCATCTCTCTCCAGGCACATTGTACTTCATGAAATTATTTCACGTCTTCATTTTTAAAATGTTCACTTTAAGGCAACTATGCAGAAGTAAGTTCATCTATTTAGGGGCTGATGAGGTCCAGACAGACATGGTTTCTTAGGGTTACCTACAGCCACAGGGAACACAGTCCCCTTGGCCAGCATCTGATGCATGGCCCTCCTCTGAGAAGTCACTTCTGGAGGAGAAGGGCCCCCAGACTCATTGCAGAAAGCCTGGAGGTCAGCCTGGGCTGGGGCAGGGGCCTCTGGCTTATCTCGTGTGGTTTCTGAGCCACCAGATGTGGTGGTAGGAACCAGCAGCTCAGGGCACAGTACCATCTCCTGGAGGTAGTAGTTCTCTTGTAGCAGCTCCATCAGGCTCAGCACACCTTGCTCCATGATACAATTGTCTGCCAGCTCCAGGGTGATTACAGTTGTGTTGGACTTCAGTCCCAAGCGGAGAGGGAGAAAGACAGAGGTGGTTGGTGACCTTGTCAGCTCGCTGCCCTTGCCCAGAACCTATCCCCTCTCTTGGACATCCCAGCCATGTCAGAGGATACAGAGATGCAGTCTAGCAATTCTGAAGGAGTGGATAGGAGCAGGAGAATAGCGCAGGAGATGAGCTGTCCCACGGATGGCTAGGACAATATGCTTGTATTTTAAATTTCTATTTTATATGCATATTTGCTAGGACAATATGCTTATGCAGGACACCTCCACCAAAAGGGGCACTGCAGGGGACATTAAAACAAAGCCCTGAAAAGTAAGAGATACAAGGAGGAGCAGAACAGATTTTAACTGTTTAACCTTGAGGAGAGAGGCCTGTGACCTACTCCCAGATGAAGAAGAACTTGATACCTTTATTAAGGATATTTAAGCATAAGGCTTGAAGCAGAAAGTATTTGTGGTGCCTGCATCCCTCAACAGCCTTTCTTCTAGTTGAGGCTTCACGCTTACCTGGTATCCTCTTTTAGTTAGGACATTGCTTCAAGGCTGTTTGGAAGGAGCTGGACTTAAATCTTAAATAAATATCTATATCCAAGCTAGTGTGCATTGCCACAGGGAGGAAACGACTGGCATTAAAGCATGAGGAACTGGGGTCGGCCCTACGCAGAACTTGTATTCTTCTCTTCCCCATCTCATTCCCAGTACAGAAAAGCACAGAGAACAGATACATCTTTGGGTGTGAGCACTTTCAAAGCACACCAAGTAGTGAGAGGACTAGCAAGCGGTAAGGAGCTCTAGCTCCAGGGAAAAGGAGAATGTGACAGTTCGAGTTACTACAATGCACGATGGTCCACGTAGGGCCTTCATGAAATGTCTTCTGGCCTCGGCTCTCTCGGGTGGGCAAAATTCCATGATGCTAAAGGCAAGGAAGAGAGCTCAGATGGCCTCCCAGTCTAGGCGTCATTTAGCAGTGCCCAGAAACAGGAGTTTAATGACCACTCCTAGAGTCATCCTGGGGACCAGCACAGTGTGTGGTACAGCAGGTGGCCCGATCACCAAGTCCACATTCGTCTTACATGGGTGAGTATCTGTTGGTCACCCTCTGTGCTGACTGCTGGGGAAATAAGATAAACAGAGAACATCACTGCTCTCCAGGGGCCTGCACTCCACCAAGTGCAAGGGCATGGAGATAGGTGGGTGAGGAACAGACATGAAGAAATGTGAAATATGATCCCTACTATCAGGGCGCTTTTCATCTAAGCCAGGGAAACACAACATGTGAAAAGTTAAACAGTACAAAAGATAAATAAAACGTCAGTCCACCAGAGTGTCACACTGACTAATTGTCAGATGAGTGGTACAGAGAATCAAGGAAGAAAAAGCTCCCCCCAGACAGAAAATGCTGTCACCAGAAACACGTGGCTCACGTCCTGAGTGGATGTCGTTATTATCCACTTTTTTCCCATGAACCTCAGAAGGTAATGGGGTATTCCTAACATTTCATTAATCAGTCTTTCAACGCTCAATAAACTTCAAGATGGCTTTGTTCCTTCTCTGTTCTTCCCTTCCTTTCCCCCCCCTCCTCAGAAGCAACACAATCTCACATTTTAAGTAACATCTTAACAGGCATGTGCTAAATGCAAATGCTGTTATATTTCCAGAAATGAGTGAATGCTCTTTTTATTTTAACCAAACTTTCTCTTTACTGTCCCAAGTGAACAAACAATGTAGTGCTGACACACAGTTGTTAAATTTTCTGTTTTCTTGGGATGGGAGTCAGTTCTGTATACAATCAATTATCATTATATAAAGCTATGACGAATTCAAGGTCAAGTCCTTGTTCACTCATGCCAAGCCGAGAGAGAGAAAGACAGAACGTTATTCCTATGGGAAAACATGATCCACTCTACAGTGTGATCCTTAAGAATTATAGCATTGCAAAAGGCAGACACTGGATGGAACGGCTCGATAGTGAACCCATTTATAGCAAAGGTGAGCTTTGGAATTGAAACCCAGGCTGAGATTTTCTATTGTGCTCTTGCATGAGCAGCCTGCCCAGCCATTTTTCCGGGCCCACAGGCTGGTGCCTTTGCTTCCTGAATAAGAAAAAGCATAGATTTCCAAGGCCCAGGTCTCTAGCAGCCTCCTTCCCGGAACTGAATGGGGAGTCCACACCTGTTGGGGAAATCAACTGACAGTCAAGCACAGCCTAGGGCAGGGTGGGCATAAAGGGTGCAATTTTGGGTGCTATGGGGGTCTCTCGGACTCTTGGGCCCACCACCCTGTCAACCCCCCACCTGTGCCAGGCTTGGTGTGCCCCCACTGGCACGCTTACCACCAGGGCTATAGCAATGGCCTTGGTACCATTGGGTCCCAGCCCGTGGTGGTTGAGGTTCATGTAGGACTCCTCCATGTTCCGGAGAAAATAAGAGACGGGCATGACGCCCAACAGTTTGCAGGCCTCCACNAAAAAAAATCAATCAAGATATTATTTACTTAGTTACTGAGCTTTTTGGCGCCCTTTAAATTGTGCGACTGAGGTGAATGCCTCTCTTATCTTACCCTAGCTGTGGCCCTGCTAAGCAGTCTAAAAGATTTCTGGGAAATAAATGACATAGAGACTTATCCCCAAATTTCTCCTTTGAACTCTTAGTAATCTTTGTATCTCTAGTACCTAAACAGTGCTTGGTACATAGCAGGTGCTCAATAAAATGCTGAATGAATGAATGAATGCAACCACTAAAACACAAATACTTCTTTGGCTGTGTCTGGTACCAGTGCAATAAAATGACATAATAATAGTCAATGTATAAAATTAAGTAATTTTAGAATTTGGCAACTCAGGAAACATGTTAGCTATTATTTGTTCAAATACTGTTGCTTATCCATTCTCTTCTCCTTCTGGAACTTCTATTAATTATATTAGGTCTATTTATTTTTTTATATTGTTTTATCTTTTATATTCTCTATATCTTTATCTTCTATACTGCAAGATATACAAAATATCCTTTTATCTTTTTTCCAGGTCACTAATTTTATTCACCTGTATCTAATTTGCTGTTGAATTTATCCATTCAGTCTTTAATTCCAATTATTATATATTTTTCATTTCTAAAATTTCTATTTTAGGGGGGCAATCTTTTAAAAAATAGTGATTTGTTCTTGTATGTTTTTATTTTTGTTTTCTTAATCATATTAAATATAGTTTATAGTTGGGTGCAAGATGTCTGTTTGCTGGCAGTATAATAGTGCTCCTATGCTATTTAGAGGATAAATTATATGGTTACTCAATGTATAGTATCTGATAATACTATTTTCTGAAGTTCTTGAGAGCCTGATGCTGCCACTTGTTGCATCTGATAGCTCTCATGGTGTTTTGTTTCCTTGTTTTGCCATTTTGGTTTGTGAGCCCATTTTTTGGCAGAGCTTTATCTGTGGGAATCCCAAGCAGCATGGAGCTTGGGTCGAGGGGTTGTTCCTCCAAAGAGGTTTTATGTTTGTTTCTGTTGCATGCTGCAAGGTATTGCCAGGCTAGGATCACTTTTAAGGTTAATTTCTTGCCTTCAGGGTTCCAGGACCCTGCAGACAGTATGAATTCAAACCACAAACCTGAGTTAGGGCAGGTCTGTGGCTACTAGAATTCTCAAGTGACTTTTATTTCTGTGAGACAGATAATAAACTAATTAAAAATAGGTATTCAATAGGGGGTCAGTCAGTAATAAATACCATTAAGGAAAAACAAGCAGGGAAGCAGGATAGAGAGTAATGGTGATGAAGAGGGGCTGCTTCGACAGGGTGGTCCGAGAAAAGCTGACATCCCTAAGGAGATGACATTTAAGAAGAGGCATGAATGAAGTGAGAGAGTGAATCCTGCAGAGATATCTGGGGGAAGGGACTTTAAAGCAGAGGAAGGGATGTTGCATATTGAATCAGAAGTTGCTTGTCCAGGAAAGCTGGAAGCCAGTGCAGCTGTGGAGAAGGGGCAAGGATGACCGGAAAGGTTTAGCAGGGTGTAGACGCAGTGTCTGTCTCTGAAATCAGAAAGGCTTGGTCCGGTTCAGTTAGACCCTGATTCTCTCTGCCCTTCTCCTTTTCATTTCCAGTGGACTCTCTCTCCTGTTCCGTGGGCTTACCTGAAAGCTGAAGTTTCAAGAGCGAAGAGGCATTTCTTTGGAGAAAGTTTGAGATGATTCTGGCCCCCTCCAAACCAAGAGCATTGTCAGAAATATTCTAAAAGGCAAAAACACACTTAATGTATGTACAAATCCCACCAAAAGTCCCTCGTTAACAAATGATGTCAGGGTGGTGCTGACTTGAGGCCTATACTGAGGGAGTAGGGTCTGGGTGGGGAGGGGGGGGGCTGGGGTGAAAGGATGGGAAGGATTAGAGTGATGCAAAAGAGAGAAGGAAGACAGGAATTCTGCTTTTCTAATGCCTGACTGGAGGCCCTCAGGCTGGTCTCAGCTTCAGTGATATTCCACGTCCCCAATTTAGCCCTGGTACTTTAGATAAGCACATTGTGACTTTTTTTTTTCATTTGAAACCCAAGGCAGCTTTATTTGAAGAGTTTGGCATAAAACAATTAGAAAATGAGTTTAGAGTAAATCCTCATTGCAAATTCCACTCATTGA